TTGTCGCATCCAGTGTACTAGACAGACTTTAGCTGTTGCGGTGCATGTCTTCTGCTCCTTGAGTTCTCTCCAGCGCTGGAAAGCTGATCTGATATTTACACGGGTCCTACTTCTTGCCTTAAGCCTTCTTTTGTTCTGCAGACGTTTTCTTCTTTTGTTTTTTATCCGCCATCTCTAAGTAGAACACATTTGATGATTTTTAACTCAAACCGTTGCAGTCTGTCATATAATGGAAGTGAATGGGAATCACGGCTTTGAGTCAAAAGAATATACACAAACAAAACCAAATTAAACCCTGCGGCTCGTGACGATACATTGATGTATAAAGACACGAAACGATCGGTCTGTGCAAGAAACTGAACAGTATTTGTACTGTTTTTTAACCTCTGATTCACCGCAATGTCCGAACTGTCCTGAGCGCGTTCTCAACAGCCGGTGCGTGACGTGTCTTCTTCTTCTTGTTTGCTTTACGGCAGATCGCAGACTTATAAGTGCATTACCGCCACCTATCGCTCAAATGGACCATTGACACTCTATCTACAATCTCAATTAGGAGTCTCATCTGATGTCCAGTATGTCATATTTCAATTTTAAGTGCATTTATTTTCAACTCCCTGCTAAAATATGTCTTAATAATTATAAAATGACCTGAACATAAAGTGTCACACCACCATAGTCCTTCTCCACTGGAACCGTCCTCATGTAGGAGGAGCAGACTTCATGTTGTTCCATTCAGAAGGAGGCGGCTGGAGGAAGTTTGCAGTGACACATGAGTCATGACTCAACACAGACGGATAGATGGATGAAGAATGAGAAGACGAGTATGGCATGTTTCTGGCCACCCGAGACCACGACTGCATCACTGATCAATTTAAAACATATGCATGCTAACAATTCCCCGTGAAAACCCGTCCCACCCCACCAGTCGGTGGTCTTTGAGGCTTAAATTATATCCAAACCTCTGGGCCAAAAAGTATGTTTCAGACATTGGAGGTTACAGGAGGTGCACTGGCCCATGTGTGTTTGTGTGAGACCAGCTCGTCGAGGTACATGTGCGATGAATTATTGAGGATTTGCCCTGCAAACTGTTTCTTACTCAGTATTTTTGTCTTGTTTTTCATTAAAAATCTTTACAAAAATCTTAAATCAAGATACATTTACTTGAGCAGCAAAATGACTTAAGATATGACGTCACTGACAGATATTTGAAGAACAAATATCTGTCAGTGGGGTAAGAAAAATAAACTTAATTCAAAGGGAAAAAGAGTATTTTTCTTAGCCCACTGACAGATTTTTTTTTTTAGGAAAAAAAAAAACTAATTTTGATTAATGTTTAAATTGAGAAGCAAACAGATTTAAGATATTAGGCCTTGTTTTATGAAAAAACATTTTTTTAAGTGAGTTTATGCTTAAAACAAGAATAATATCTGTCAGTGGGTTAAGAAAAATAAACTTAATTCAAAAGGAACATTTTTTTTATTAGCACACTGACATATTTTGTCTTGTTTTAAGCATAAACTTATTTAATTTTGATGATTTTTTAATGATAATTAAAAAAAAAATCTCAATTTAAGTATGTTTAAACAAGACTGATTAATTGATACATTTTTCACTTGAGTTAGTTTATGCTTAAAACAAGAAAAAATCTGCCAACGGGGTAAGAAAAATAATTTTTTCAAATATTTACATCAAAGGCAAAACAAGATTTTCTTATCTCACTGATAAATATTTATCTTGTTTTAAGTAAAAACTCACTTAATTTTGATTAATGTTTCAAATGATAAGCAAAATGACTTAAGATATTAAGCCTTGTTTTCTGAGAAAAAAAGAAAACATAAAAATTGAGTTTATGCTTAAAACAAACAAAAAACAAATCTGCCAACGGGGTAAGAAAAATGACTTAAAACAAGATTTAACGCAAGATTATTTTTCTTATTTCAGTGACAGATATTTTTTCTTGTTTTAAGCAAAAAATCACTTAATTTTGATCAATTTTCTCAGAAAATGTCTTTTTGCTTCTCAAGTAAATGCATCTTGATTTAAGAATATTTAGATATTTGTACTAAAAAATGGCAAAAAAAACTGAGTAAGAAAATTATTTTTTTGCAGTGTGTAAACTGTGCACAAGAGCCCTGGTGTAAAACCTCAAAGTATCCAACCAAAAAAATAAAATAAAATCAAATAAAACATGACACGTTCACGAAATCAAAAATGCATCTACCGTCGTAGCGACTTTTTTACATTTCCTTTTTTCTTGTTTTTGCCGTTTTTCTCTTTTTATAGTATCGCTCAAGTATATCACAGGTTACTATCTAGAGAGGAAATAGAAGGTAAATTATGTTCCATGCTACATCTTGTTCAGAGAAGGCTATTGCAGACGATTTCTACATCACACACAATCACACGTTGTACGCTTGTATAACAAAAGATCCAAAACATGTCACCAAGAAACTAAATACATATGCATTGTTCACTATTTAGAGTCTTTTAGGACTATCCCTCGGTCAACGTGAAGCTGCCGCACGTCACTTGACTTCGCTGTCCTGTCTTACAGACAAAAGTTGAAAAACTGCTATTCAAAAATTAGCAAATTTGGTCATTGTCTCTCTCTTTTTTTGTTTTTAAATAAGTAGTGCTTTTTGATGGCTTAAGACAGAGGTCTTTTATTTCATAATCTCACCCAGTGGCAATCTACAAGACGTCAGTGTGCATTTCATGACACCGCTACGTTACCTCTCCTCGAAACCAGCTAGTGCTGTGACGTAGAATCCAAAGTGACTTTATCAAAATACCTAAAATGTGTTTATAAATATCTGACGCTTACGATCTTCTTAAAGAGCGTGAATCTCTAGAACTCCCACTCGAGCGTTTCCTCGCGGTTGGCGGCCCGTTCCAGGCGATGGATGATGTTGTTGAGGTTGGCCATCTTCTCGTTGCGTCTCTGAGTGCTTTTGTTGAGTTTGGAGTTGAGCGAGGGCGAGCTCGGCGGGTGATGATGGCTCGGGGCCGGCGGGTTGGGTGGCGACGGGGAGATGGGGGCGGAAGAGGATGGGACGGGGGACACGGACATCATGAGGCCAGGCGAGGACGCGGCGGAGGGCGAGTTGAGCGACACCTCCAGGCTGCTCCGGGACGGTTCGGACAAAGCCTTGAAGCTGACGGGATCCTCGGGCGACTTCTCCAGCTCCTCGTCCTCATGGCTGTTCCTCTGCGGCTCCTCGTCTTTGACGCCCAGCGAGCGGTGCGGGGGCGTTTCCGGGTCGCTTTTGAGCTGGGCAAACTGGACGGCGATGGAGAAGCACTTGGCCTGCCGCAGACGGAGCTCCTCGTCTTCATCCGGCTCACTGGTCTCCTGTTTGACAGCGAAGCGGCGCGGGGCGGCGCTCAGAGGGCGGCTGTGAACGGCCGAGGGCTGCTTCCTGTCGTCGCGGTCGGATGCGGGGCTGTGGGATGTCAGCGGGGAGTAGTTGTTGTGCTCAGCGTCAGTGTCATTGTCTTGGAGACCCTGCATCAGGACCTCTCGCCGCATACGGGACCTGTTGAAAGGATGATGATGAAACAGAGGAAATACATTTACTGTTTTTATTTTTAACTGTATGCTATATTGGTGTCACACATGATCAGTCAGTGTTGTTATTGTTAACTTTAAAAACTTAAAAACATTCAGTAATTGAAATAAAGTTGAAATAAAATTCTATATAAATATTAGATGCAAAAAATTAAAGAAAGAAATTTTGTCTTGGAAATTTGTATCTGAAATAAATAAGTGGAAATGCTAAAATTATTAAAAATGAAATAAAAATTAATTAACCCTTTAACTGTCACCGTCCCACCTGTGGGACGATTGGCGCTCTTTTTCATCACATATTTTAGTAGTCATCATATATCATTTGAAAGCTTAAAACCTTAAAATTCATCCTGTGGAAACTATTTTGAAATCGTAGATTGTGTTACCATGGAAATGGTACTTTAAATCTTTTGGTGGTCTCCTCCCCCTTAGCAGGCGGGGTCAAATGTCATATTACAAAATGTATTACGGTCTTTTACAATCCAAACTTATTATAATCTTGACAAAACACATATCGTTGGAAAGGTCTGAGTCTCACGATTCCATATGTGGTGATATATTTTGTGATAGAAGTCAAATTAACAGAGACATTTAGACATTTGGGGCAGAAAAAAATGCATTAAAAAAAATTCCCTGGAGTTTGGGTGTCACCCGGTGGCTGTTTGTGGTATAACGCCCTAAATGAAATCTCACAGGAACCTCAATTTTTTTATATCAACTTCAAATTTGGAACATAACTTATTTAGACACAAGGCTTTAATTTTATAGCAATTTTAGAGTAAAACCTGTTATGAAAAATATTTATTTTATATAAAATTAAAAAAATAGTAGTGCGTTTTCTTTACAGTAAATTTAAACTTCTATAATTTTTGGATACTTTCATATTTTGAAATAATTTCACTTCTGCAATAATTTTGTGATTGTGATTCAAAAGCGTTTGGATAGTGCACTTTCACGTCTATGTTCAAAAATGGCTGGTGAGAGTTAAAGGGTTTTTAAAAATATACAGAAATATTTAAATTAAAAAGACAAAAAAATTTGAAAAGCACATAACAAATTTACTAGAACTAAGATTAAAAATAAAACTGAAAATATCAAACTAAAAGCTAATTCAAAATATTATTAAATACTACAATTGTATATAATAACACAGTATCTCACTACATTGCACGTGTAATTCAGCAAATCCAGTTATTGTCTTAAAAGCAAAAAGTAGCTGAAATGTGTTTGTTTAAATAGAAAATTAATATAACTAAATTAAAAATAAATTAAAACTATATTGAAATATTAAAAATCAAAATTAATATAAGAAAACAAAGCATAAAAATAAAAGCTAATTCAAAATATTAATAAATACTGTAGAATATAAATAACAGTAAAATAACACTGGATCTCACTACATTGTATGTGTAATTCAACAATTTCAGTTATTGTCTGAAAAACACGGCAAATAAAATAAATAACTTTCATTTGAAATACTAAAATTAATAAATCTATATACAAATTTAGAAAATAATAAAAATTAAAATACAAAAATAAAAGCTAATTCAAAATATTAATAATATATCAATAACACTAAAATAATTCTAGTTCTCAGCAAATCCAGTTATTGTCTTTAAATTAACATTTTAAATCTAATTTATTAGTGAAATGTCTTTCGGACCAATAAAAGAGAGGATAGTTTGCTGCTGACATCACTTCCAGTTTGAAAGCTTTGCATCGTACACAGTGTGCTCTGGTAGTGATTGGGGGGACCAAATAAGAATTTTTCACTGAAAATGTTGAAATTTTGGGGGGTATGTTGGAAAGTTCATGCCACAGTACAGGTGTAGTTACAGGGTTCTCTTGTCTTTCTATTTTAAACTCCTCAATTGTCCAGCAGGTGGAGCCAAACTCCCATTCAAAGCTTCAAACTCTAACAAGAGCTCAGACACAAGGACAGGTCTTTACAAGGTAAAAAGCAGAGCACAGCGGATTCGGACCTGTAGTTGTGGAACCAGTTGATGACGGTGTTGGTTTTGAGGTTGAGTTGAGCGGCCAGCATCTCGATGGTGTGCTGCGAGGGATACGGCTCCTGCAGATACGCCTTCCTCAGAGCCTCCTTCTCCTCGGCCGCCAGCACCACGCGGGGTTTCTTGGCCTGGCTGAAGGGGCAGAGCTCCAGCGGGGTCAGACCCGGACTGATGCAGTCTGAATGAGCGCCGGGGGAATCGCTGTCTGAGCCGGGACTCAGCAGACCGTATCGCCTCTTCAGATACGCTGGAGAAAACCAACACATTCTGTTTTACAGCAGTCTGCTACTTGAGACGACTTTACAAATTATGATCAACTGCATCTTCACAGCAAGTGGGTCAGATGTAATATAATGATGAAAAGAGTTTAAGTTGAAATGCTAAAACAAAACAAAAACTACAATAAAAACTCATTAAAGCTACTGTATATAGAAATATTTAAAATAATAATAAAAATGACACAAATGCACATAAAATTACAATTTCAACTAAAGAAAATCGAAAATATAGAAACATAAGCTAATTCCAAATATTAAATACTATAATAGTATATAAATTACACTAAAACTGGATCTTACTACATTGCATATGTGCAATTCAGCAAATCCACTTATTGTCTGAAAAACAGACATTTTATTAATAAAGTCTGAATCAAAAAACGCATATAATAATCGGTCATATAATGCATAACACAATGATAAAAATTTTAATTTTAAAATTAATCAAACTAAAACTACAATAAAAATAATAAAAATGGCAAAAATGAAAAAATAAAAGCTAATTCAAAATATTAATAAATACTGTAATAGTAGATAAATAAATGTATCATTTTTATAAATGTCTTTTTTATATTTCTATATAGCTTCATTTTTTTAGTTTTTGAAATGTTAGTATTTTAGTTGTCAAGGCAACATTTCTTATTTTCATTTTCATTTAACTTTTTAAGTTTTTATTCTAATATTTATATTTGATTTTAAGCTTTATTTCAATGAAAGAAAATGATTTTTAATAGATTGAACAACATAGTATATAAAATAAGCATATAAATGACACTGGATCTCACTATTTGAAATCTAATTTATTAATAAAATGCCTTAAAATGTAGATCTAAAAAAACCCGAAACGGCACAGAATCAGTGAAGAACTGAATCAATTGAGTCTGTTTTCTTACCTTTCTTCTCTATTTTCTTGACATCTCGGAGTTTGTCGACGTTGTGCGGGTCGTTGAGCCACAGCTGCATGCGGACGAACGGCTCGCGGCCCTTCAGACTGAGCTTATGCCAGGGCTTCGGTCTGGACAGCAGGTCAGACACTGAACCCTGAGTCAATCCCAGAATGCTCTCTCCAAACAGACGCTGACCTGAAACAACACACACGTATACTTACAGTTACAATCCGGCTCCAGTCCTTAGAACTCTCCTTAGATGTACATTCAACATGAATCAGTTCAAAACAGTCTATTTCAATGAACTGATTCGAAATGTATCTTGTTTAAACTACAGTTCATTTTAAAGAAATTAACACTTTTATTCAGTAAGGATGCATTAAATTGATAAAAAGTGACAGTAAAGACATTTATAATGTTATTCCCCCGCCCCCCTCCCCCCTGAACTTTCTATTCATTAAAGAATCCTGATTTAAAATGTATTTCCACAAAATATGAAGCAGCACAACTGTTTTGTTTCTTGAGCAGCAAATCAGCATATTAGAATGATTTCTGAAGAATCATGTGACACTGAAGACTGGAGTAATGATGCTGAAAATACAGCTTTGATCACAGAAATAAATTATATTTTAACAATAGGCTACAATAGAAAATGGATATTTTAAATTGTAACATTATTTCACAATATTCCTGTTTATTGTGTTTTTGATCAAATAAATGCAGCTTTGGTAAGCAGAAGAGACTTCTTTAATAAACATTAAAAAATCTTTATTATTCCAACTTTTGACCGGTAGTGTATACTATTATAGTATACAGTGTACTATATAGTGTATACTATATAGTATACTATGTTAATACTTTGATTTAGCTTTTATTTTTATATTTTCAGTTTAATTTTTAGTTTGTTCTAGCAATTTTGTCACATGATTTTGTCATATTCATGTTGTTTTATTTATGCAGCTTTAATTAATATATATAATACTATAGTATTTATTGATATTTTGAATCAGCTTTTATTTTTTCAGTTTTCATTTGAATTTTAGTTTTAGTAATTTTGTTACATGATTTTGTCATATTATTTTTTTTACACCTTTATATATTTTATACACTTCTTATAGCTTTAATTCATCTTTACTTTAGTTTTAAGAATTTTAGTACTTCAACGTACACTTATTTATTTATAAAGGCAATGTTTAAATTTTTCATTCAACTTTTTAAGGTTACGTTTTTCATCTAATATAATTTTTTTATATATAATTTTAATTACAGAAAACTATTTCTAATAGTTTTAGTTAGTAGTAACAACATTTGATCAAATAAATGCATCCTTGGTGTAGCACAAAAATACCCAAATCTTATCAAAAATCTTAATTTTACATATAATAAAATGCTGACATTCATACAGTGCTGTGTATGTCGTGCTGTAAATCACCTAAGTTGTTGTCGGTCAGCACTTCCTTCACTCTCTTGGTGATGGCGTACGTGTCCAGCTCCGGAGACATGGCCACCAGCTCCTGGATGCCCAGCGGCATGTGGGGCTGCTGCGGGACCGTCATGCCCGGCGTGCTCTTCCCTCCGTGGGGCTCGGCGTGCTGCGGCTGCTGGTTCTCCTTACTGCTCTCCAGCGCCAGACTCACGGGCTCCAGGGTCATGCTGGGGTGCTCGTCCTCAGGACTCGGAGGAGGGCACGGGGATGAGCGGCTCGTCACGGGGCTCTTATCTGAGAACCAACAACCAAAGATTATAATAATTATTACAGTCAGAAGAGTTTTACATTTATTGGTTACGTTAAAACACTCAAATAATGCAATACCATGTCTATGGAAGGATAACAAGAAGATTTCAACTAGAAACTAAAATTACTCAATATTTTTGTCTTGTCTTCCAATTCAAATATATACACATACTTGAATAAAAATGTTTAAAAAAAAAAAGTGAGTTTATGCTTAAAACAAGACAGAAAAAAAAATCTGCCAGTGAGGTAAGAAAAATGACTTTGTTATTTTAAAAACTTGAATTAAGTTTATTTATCTTACCCCACTGCCAAATATTTGTTCATATTTTAAGCATAAACTCTATTAATTTTGATGTTTTTTTTTTTTTTAAAGAAACTAAGAATGAATATCTTAAGTCATTTTGCTTCTCAAGTAAATGTATATTGATTTAAGAATTTTTAGATATTTATTCTGGAAAATAATAAGATTTTTTTTTTGCAATGTAGGAAATAAGAAATAGTATTTTGCATACAGTAAATAAAGCTTAACTTTAATATGTTCAGCATTTTGCCATCAGAACTATCATTACGGAGAAAAATATTTTTTTTCTCACTGTAATAAAACATATTGTAATTTACACTATAAACGATGTTTTAAAAACGTTATTTATAATTTTTATAATAATTATAATTTATATTACACATTTTCATCATTTTATTTTTAACCTTTTTTTTTCATTTTATTTTTATTTTTTTGTGTTCAGCTGTTGTAAGATTCTCATTACTATATATTTTTTAGTGAAATGCAGAAAAAACTGTTATTTTATTTAAGCAGCACAGAGTGAAGCTGAACTTGAAAATGTTTTGCATTATGCTTTCATTTTCATGACAATTAAAAAGATCTGAATGCCAAAAGCAGAATGTCAAAAGTCTCTTTACTTTAATATTAAAAAATATTATAATGTATATTGCATATTATTAATATAATTATTGTTTATTGTAAGTTATATTACAATTTATTTTTTCATTTTTATAATAATGAAAAAAAAAATGTTTTAATCCAATTGTTTTCAATTGTTCCAAGAATATCAGTACTATGATAATATTTTTTTATTTTATCAAAATACAGGAAAAAATAAACCCCAATGATATTATTTAAACATTATATCATGACTACTATGTAATAGTAATTAATATTTAACCCTAAACTACTTCTTGGAATTACAGAAATGAGCAAAAGCCCCTCTGGCTGTGTGTAGGATGGGTTGTTAGTGCTGGTGATCATGACTGACCCTGACTGTGGCTGTGGTTGGACAGCTGGTTGAGTCCGTGACCCAGCTGGTCCAGCAGCCAGAGCTGCATGCGTATGAACGGCTCGCGGCCCTTCTGAGTGAGCTTACTCCAGGGTTTAGGTCTGGATAACATGTCACTCACGCTGCCCTGAGACAAACCCAACACCTGCCAGAGACACACAGACATTCAAATGAGTCTGAACTAATAATGCTCGTAATAAAACCAGAACCTTACTGTTTGAAATCAGCTTTTCACTGGCAAATATTCAAGTGACCACTAGATGGCAGAAAAAGACAATCCAAGAGCTTCAGGTCGCAATGGCGCTACAGTTTCAGAAAAAAAATTTTTTTAAAGAAAGGACACATTAAATTGATCAAAAGTGACATCTATAATATTACATAAGATTTCTGTTTCAAATAAATGGTGTTTTTTCTTTTTTGGAAAAAATGTATCACGGTTTTCACAAAACTATGACGCAGCACAACTGTTTTCAACATTGATAATAATAAAAAATGTTTCTTGAGCAGCAAATCAGCATATTAGAATGATTTCTGAATGATCGTGTGACACTGAAGACTGGAGTAATGATGCTGAAAATTCAGCTTTGATCACAGGAATAAATTACAGTTTAAAATATATTACAATAGAAAACAGTTATTTTAAATTGTAATAAAATTCCTCAATATTACTGATTTTCCTGTATTTTTGATCAAATAACACAGCCTTGGTAAGTAAAAGAGACTTCTTTCAAACACATAAAAAAATCTTCCTAACTTTTGAACTTTAGTGTGTATATATATTCATCAGAGGCGGACAGTAACTAAGTACATTTACTTGAGTATTGTACTTAAGTACATTTTTTGAGTATTGGTACTTTACTTGAGTATTATTTTAGACTAACTAAAGTTGAAAAAGTGAAAAAGCATAATAGGACCCCTTTAAGACAGGAGTATCACTACATTGCAAGTTTGGAATAAATTTCTATTTTGGAATAACATGCACAGATTAATCATTCCCAATAAAACCAGAAACATGTATTAAGGAAGTAAATATGGTTTTGATTTAATGTCGTCAAAAAAATTAGACATTAATGTTGATTTGTGGGTATCAAATACCAAAACAGATGTATGCCGTTTCCACACAATAACATTACACTTGTGCCCGATTATTGTGGAAAAACCATTTCATGCACCGATTCCTTTGATCTCGAGTCATTACATGAAAACTTGCTCTCCAGCTGTGCTGTTTTAGGACACACAAACAATCTCACAACAGGGTTATTATCATTAACTAAAATTAAAACCTTACATAAAACAGTTTTGTTACTTAAAATAAAATAAATGTTAACTAAAAAATATAATATAATATAATATAATAATAGAAAAAGTAAAAAAACCTTAAACTTATTTTCAATTAGTTCTAATCTTCGTTTATTTGAAGTACTAAAATAACAACGACAAAGAAAGAACCTTTAAAACAAAAAATACTAAAAAATAAAAAAATGAAATTAAATTTAATTTAAAAAAAAATTAATTAAATTAAAATGGAAAATACAGAGAACATAAAAATAAAAACATTTTAAAATATTAATAAAAAATTATTAGTATATTAATGATACTAATAAAAGACGCACCAAATACTGAAGTTTGTAAATGGAAAATACTTTGGTGTGTAAGCAAAAAAACTATTTCAACAAGAATGTGTTTGCACACATAATCGTAGAAAAATTAAGATATTTTTAATGGACATATTTGAACTTGAGAAACGGTGTGTACTGACGTCTTTAAGCGGTTGAAACAAGATACCTTCTGATGTTCATTCATGTTTATTTCGTGCTATAACTAGTAAAGAGGAGGAGATGATCAGTTCATGAGCCGCTACAGTGATCTGTCACCACACACCATAGAGCCACAAAACGGTATTTATTGTTTGAATTTCTTTAAAAAATGACAGAATTTGAAAGTTGAGACTTTGTTTCATACCAGAAGTAACCTGCTCTGTCCTGTCTGTCAGTTTCCTCTTTGCTCTGCGATGTATTTTTCACTGCGTGAGAACATGATGAGTAGCTTGTCGGACGTAGCAACAGTAACTAAGTGGGGCAGGTCTTTGCAACGGGTGAGTTGTGATGCAGTAATAGTTTTGTATGTCTATGATTGTTAGCACACATATTGATGCTTCATGTTACTGGGTAAATTAAGTTCACTTTCTAAGTCTTTCTAACTTCTCTACATATCTCTACTGCAACACTGATGACGATTTGAATGGAAAATGTTTTGTCTTTGCACTGAGCATGTTGCCCTTTTTTGGCAATAATTTTTAATTTTCTTTGATAATGTGTGTGCGAGCTTCTCCTGTTGTTTGACTTTGCTATATATAACCCCACCTTCTCTCCGAAGATCCTCTGGCAGATCCCGTTCTTGGCCAGTTTTTCCTTCACCTGCCGGGTGAGTTCGAGGGTGTCCACCTCGCGGTACATGTACATCTCGTACTGCTCCGGGGTCAGCGGCGGGACGGTGGGCTTCAGGGTTCGGGGGATGTAGGTGGGGTAGTATGATACCCGTCCTCCTCCGCAGGGCGGCTCGCTGCTGACCGACGCGTCTGGCTCCACCTTGATCTCCACCTGCCGTCCCAACACGGGCTCGTCCTCTGGCGCGGACGTTTCCTCGCCGTTTGCAGGGCAGTCTCCGTTCTCCATCCGCGGCCAGGGACGAGGCATGGACGAATGTCCCGTGGACGAAGAGGAGGAGAGCGACGGAGACACGGAGGTGAACGGGTGAGAGCTCACGCCCATCACGACCGCACCGCGTTCGGCGGACCAGTGCTGGTCGAAATACGCACCAGCATCGCCGATCTCTGACTTCACCTTACGGATGATGTTTTGGACAAAGGCGGCAGGAGACAGGACACTCAGAGGCATCTGAGGGCTGCCGGTGGGATTGGACACGCACATCGGCAAGGACACATTCTCTTCCTGTTTGATGAAGGGCGGCGTGGGGGGCAGCTGACCCTTGGCGGGATCCTGCAGGGCGAGACGCTCGCTGGAGGACGCCCGGCCGCACACCTCCATCTCCAGCAGGGCCTGCTGCTGCGCCTGCATCTCTCGACGGGCCTGTTCCAGGATGCTCTTGATGGTTTCGTCAGAACTGCTGCTTCCTCCGGAGCTGTTACGTCCTGATGAACAGCCCAGAGACGACCTACAATCACCTGTCCAACACAAACAGATCAGAACGTGAGTTTGCATTGCTAGTCAAAAGTAGTTGTAACTTGACATGGCTTCTTTAAAAAGTGGTGCTTGTGGTGCGCAAGACACACCATATCAGCCAAACTAGCACTAGCAGGTGTGTAGAACAACGATTATTTTTTAAAATGAAAAATTATAATAAATAAATGATTTTAATCTTACCATATTTATAATATTAAAATATAAACAAGTTACAAATTAATATGAAATATTTATGTAATAGTAAATGTGTAAATAGTAAATAGTAAGTAGTAAATTAATTACGTATATTAATATTTTGTATTTGATAATACAATAATAACATAAATATTTTAAATATTTCATTATTATAAAAAATAATTATTATAACAGCCAAACTAGCACTAGCATGTGTGTACACAAATAATTATTTATTAAAATGATTATAACAAATAAATAAAATAATAAATGATTTTAATATTAAAATATTTAAAATATAATATTAAATTTTTAATCTTAAAATATAATCAAATTATATATAATATTAAATATTTATATAATAGTAAAAATGCAATGATATTAATATTTTTTATTTGATAATACAATAACAAAATAAATATTTAAAATATTTAATTATCCTAAAATATTATTAATATTTAACATATTATACATATAACATTAAAAGTATTTAATTGTATTAATATTTTATATTTGATAAAATAATACAATAATAAAACAAGTATTTAAAATATTTAATTAATATACAAAGAATTATTATTATTTAAAATAATTTATTAACAATTAAACAGAGCAGACAGACATGTTATTAATAGTGTGTTTCCTGGGATATTGAACCCATCATTTTGTCATTGCTTGCACGTACAACACTGCAAAATTATTTTTGTCTTTTTATCTCAACATCCTTCAATAAACAAGATAAATTGTGCAAGATATTAAGAGAATATATTTTCTGAGAATATCTTTAAATTTGTTAAATATGTTTTCAAATATATGCTTATGCATGCTTATATTTTTTTGTTCTATTATAAAAAATAATATTTAAAATATTTAATGCTCTAAGACACTGTAAAAATATTTTTTAATCTGTATATTTGTCTTTATATCTCAACATCCTTTAATAAACAAGATAAATTTACCTTAGAAGCAAAATTACATAAGACAGTAAGAGAATATATTTTTAGAGAACATAATTTTAAATTATTTTTTGGCCATTTTTGTTATTTTAAATGTAATTCATTTATTTTAGTATATACCTCACTTAATGTTGTTATAGCTAGGCTTAAAAATATATTTAAGCATATATTTATTTCATAAATTGAATTCAGGATATAGTCACATAATTTGGCTCCTCAGATACCTGGATGTTTTTTTGTTTGTAGTGAAGTAAGTCATTTTGGACAACGAGAAGAAGATTCCAACAAACATCAGGCATCCTATTATGCAAAAGAATCCTATAACAGTCACGTATGCGCAGATCAAAGCTGGTTTCACTGCTGCTGTGTGTTATTGTGTAGGTAGCAGTGTGAGATTCATAAACTGCCTGTGGATTTGGTGTCTTTGTACCGACCTCTTTGTGACTGGATCTCCTTCTTGGCCTGCTCTAGAATGTTCTTGATGGCATCATCTGACCCAGTTTCAGGAGTTCGGATGCGAGGAGTGATGCTCCCTATCGGAGAGGGTAAAGGAGAGAGAGGAGGTGAGGTGAGTGGGCCGGCTGATCAGAGAGCAGCTCCAAAGCCTCGCGTTTGATTGCTAGATCAATAGCTGCCTTTGAGAAGCTGGCATCAAGTGAGGGTGCGCTAACACGTGAACGCTTTACTTTCAAACCCCAGAAAGAGAGCATCACAACAAATGCAGGGTTTGGGAGGGAGAACGGAAGCTAGAAACGCTTGTACAGGAAACCGGACTAGTTCTCTCTGGGGGTCTGAAATGGTTCGGTGGGGTTTAGAGGGATGAGACATCTTCAGGATGTCAGACTGGCCTGTGGGATTGAGCGAAGACATGAAACACAATTCACAAACCATTGAACTTCCATAATGTGGAATCAAATCAGAAGGAAATAGCAGGTGGATAATATTGGTTGTGATTTTATATATTTTTACCATGATATTGTGTAGAAGAAATATAGCCTTTATGGTTATTTAAAATGTATGCATTATTGTTGTATTTACTGTAAGTCAACATTAACCCTTACTCTAAAATCGGATTGGTTAATATTAATGTTGTCTTAGGACCAATAAAGATGCTGCTCCAAGAAGATCTTTTGCTTGACACAAACGTAAATTCACCAAATGTATCCAACAAAAATACTATCATATATGAAATAAATAAATATGGTTTATTAATACAGCATTATTAAACATTTGATCTCATAAAATGTTCAGCTGTATTGTCATTTGTCATGTAATGTTAGGATATGTAAGGATTATTAATAATTATTGTATAATTATATTATTATTTTTTATAATATTATTTTATAATGAATATATATATAGATTTACTTTTAATAATTTGTATTTTTTGTAAATGTAATATTTTATATTAATAATTAATTAATCATTAATTGCTTCATTTTGATGAGAAAAAAATCATTAATTTATTAATATAAATATTTTAAAATGCATATGAATTTATTATATATTATATATTTCATGTTGGTCTTGCTAATATTTATTTTTTATAATTTGTAATTTTTTGTAAATTAATATTTA